CCAGGGTTCCTGATGATCTCTACTAAAACGTGTGCAGCTGGAACTCCGGTAAGGATAAGATTGGGTGCTCTTCATGGTCAGTAATGGCTGGCAGTCAGAGATCACGCTAGACTGACTGTATGTTTTGTGGGCAAAACACAGCACCCGATAGTTTAAGCAGGAATTGGTACCTTCAGGAAAGGACAGTAGAAAATTGGAGAATGTAAACCAAACAAAGACCACAGCAGTTCAAAGGGCAAAGTAATTATTTTAATGTGCTGGAGTAAATAATGCCTCACAACAGAAAACAATAATTTTGACTTCAGATTACAATTCGATGAGACACCAATCCAAGCATTCATTCAGCTGAAATCAAACAAACATCATTCTCCAATGTGCTGCCATTAAACTGGAGAAGAGAACTGCAGCGCACCAGGTGTGAACGAACCTGACACATGAGAGAAAAACAACTTTGAAAATGCATTAACCTATAAACTAGTATAGCTTCAATTTCACAAGCTCAGATGACACAAGATGTACAATCAATAAAAGTAGGTATCTCTGTGCTTTGGTTTCTTCCCATGTTTGTTTTGTGAATGGGTATTAATTTTCAGATGTAAGGTCAACTAATAAAAGATGTTCAAAACAAAAGGCTCTAAAGAATTATTTGTATTCTCGGAAAAAAGGAAAATTCCAACTTTGTTCCCTGTGAATTGATGCAACTTGGAAAGTGAGCATTGATTACAACAATTCTCCTTTTCAATCATGCTAATAGAAAGGGTATCACTCGACAAAGCAGCTCGAACATGATAAGAAGAAAATTATACACACACACACACACGTTATCATAAAGCTGAAAACATGTTTGTGCAAAGTCTACACAAAACTTCAGGTTTTTGCTTTCAACATTTAGAACGTCCCCTCCCAATCGACAAATACAAAAGGCAACACTGGAAACGTGTACTTAGAACATTGGCAAATAAATCTCACTTCATGTACCAGCACTTCCTGCCCATCTCTGCTTCTAAAATAACGTTATAATAATCCTTGCATTTGATATAGTGCCTTATCACATCTTAGAGGAGTCTCAAAGCGCTTCACAGAATATATTGCAAAGTGGACTATATATTTTGTAGGTAAAACACAGCACCCAATTGCACGCAGCAGTAACTGGGCTGTGCACTAACATTAACTGGGTTATGCACATACTGAATGATAAGGATTGGATCCCAGATCTGAATGCCATGTTATTAGACTGTGTGAATCATGGGGAAAAGTGGCAAAGCAGGATTATAAGAAGCCAGTTTATGATTAAATTCTGAGATGTATGACAAGTTTAGAAGGTGGTTTCACCTTCAAGCTTACAGTAATTTCTCACACCTTCGCACTGCAGAACTACTCAGCTAACACCTCAATTCTGTGGTGTGGGTGAGATATCCCAAAAGACGCATTGATACAGAGCTAAAAATCTTTATCTGTGCTGTTGAACTCATCTGAAAATCTGCTTAAAAAAACATTAGCACTACAAGCGGACTCTGCTCCAGTAACTGGAAATAACAGACACATTTTTGTCCTGTAATGACATATTTAAACTCATATGCTATCCAAAGAAAATTTATTGCAAAACAAACTGAAGACGCCATTAATTGGATGCTTCCGATGCTTGATAACAATCTTGTCAGTTCTAAGCCTTTTTGCTAACCTGGAGACAAACGTGCAAGTAAATACTGCATGTTCACTCATCCCAGATCACAAACACAAGGAGACATAAGGTTGGACATTTTCAGTTTAGCAATGTTCACACATGCTGTAATGGACAGAGAGATCCTAAAAATATTCAATTTTAAATTGACCCAGACTGTAACTCATCTACGATTAACATTCAGGATCTATCTCAAAATACAGGTTTCTAGATTACAAAACCTGATTGTGTTGTACCACCAAATCCAACACCAAGGTTTGAAGTGTCACAAACTTCTCTTCCAAACTACACTTTCAGGAATTGGATAAATGCAGCATTTCTATCCTGCTTCTCTCCCCTCCCCCTCTTCACAATTTGAATTAAAACAGTTAAGAACTTAACTGGGAACATACGGGAACATCAAGCTGAAACATACTCCTTAAGGGCTATCCAACACTGGATGGAAATATACTTCCTTCCTTCCCTGAGGGAACAACAGGAGGACAATGAACCATGGTTCCCACCAGTGCCAGCCATAAAGGAGGGTGAACACATTACTGCTAAGAATGACACAGTTGTACTTCAAGGAGCAGGAAATGCTACAATAAATCCCCTGGGGTGATTACAGACACATTGTTTCTCTTCTGTTTGTTTTGTCCTTTTTTCCCTTACCTATATTTTTATTGTTTTCTAGTGGATAGAAAACACTAAAAATATAGGTAAGGGAGAAAAAAAGATGAGGCACAAATCATAATAGGGCAATCCGTGTTGACTTTGTAAATCAACATCACTGAATTTGAGAGGGAAAAGTGAGACAAGAGCTCAGCATGTGAACCTTACCTCATCAGACAAGTCCTAGACTCGAGCATATGCATCTCATTCTATTTCCAACACATTTTTCCTACCTTAAACTCATGTGTCTGCTTGCACTTGATTAAGGAAGTGATCCAATGCCCAATTAAATCTTTTAGTTGATCGATAACATTGTATGTTTCAGTGTACAACATAATGTAGTTAGATTGGAATGTTTTACAACATTGAATACAGTTTCTGAAAGTCCAAAACCTACACTGAAGCATTTTGCTTTGCTGTAAAACCTCGAGATCTTATTATAGTGCTACGTCAATGCAGTGTTAAATTTATATTCTGTGCCATTTTTGCTCTGATTCTGAATACAACTTGACAGACCTATGAAGCCTGTGTGGTTGTTCAGTCAAATGGCAGGACAAAACTAGACAGGGCTGAAAAAAAAAGCGCAGCAACCTTTAGGAAGAAAACATTTGTAGGATTTAATATACCAGAATCTCAGATCTCAGTCACCTAAGAATGTGTTTGCTGCTTGGATGCTGAAAAATAGCCAATGTTAACTGTGATTATTTTCTAAGGTGAATTATCAGAGGTTTTCTTTATGGTGCAGCCAACCTTTTTAAAATCATCATAACAAACATCAAAACAAAATTATTTTTAACTTCCATGTAATAATTCTACAAAGACCTTTGCGGTGTTCTATACAAAACACTCACTTCTCTTAGACACCTTAGTGATAGGGTTACTTCCTACACAAAATTGCTTTGGAAATATTTAAAATAAGAGAATCAACCACAATAGCTTTAACATATTTGTATCAGAACACATCAAAGATGTAGACAAAACGTAGGTTGTTAAATCTCTGGTTGCAGAGTACTTACAATTGCAGAGTACTTGCCAAAGGCTGTCACTCATTTATATGGGAAACAAAGGAATTCAGCTTTCAGGAAAACATTCAGTTGACCTGAGCAGCAGATAATTTTACTCTGTGATAGACAATAATATTTCAGTACACTGCTGAGTTGAAAGAAAGAAATAATTTGTGCAGCCCTTGGGATGCGCATTTATGGTAAATCTCCAGATAAACGCAATGGTAATTTAGTATTAATTGAAAAAAGACTTGGCGTGCCCAAACATTTTACTCTTTCTGTTTATCTATATAAATAATAATAAATTTATAATGTACCAGCTCTCTGGCCAGCTTCTTGTGAGAGTTCTGTGGTGCATTATCACTATATTGTCTATATTGTGTGGCAAACATGAGTCAACACCATACAATTCAGCAGCATTTGGTCTGAGCTTTTCTTGTTTGGATAGCCCAGGTATCTGATGCAAGCAGATGCCCATCATCACCCTGCTTAAGAAATATTCAAACCAGACTGAGAATTCCACATATTATATGCCACCTACACATGGAAATTTCCCCATGTTGTGGAATGGAATATGCACTCTCTCTCCCTGCTTATCTAAATCCGTGTTAGGCACAGGTTGGCTGTGTCAAGCACAGATTGGTGAGAACCAAGGTTTAGGAACCACACAGTGTGTGATGGGATGATGGGGTATTGCTGGAGTTTAACCAGCTAAAACCTCAAGCTTCCAGCTAGGACCACCACAAGCTTGTACAACTACCTGTTAAGGCTTTGGCTTGCAGAGTTAACAGGAGCAGAGTGCTCCTAAAAACTGTCCTGCCTCTCCAAATCCTGCCGCTGAACCAGGCTGGTTGGGCTGCCATCACCAGACTCACGTTGGAGTCCTGTGGACCCAGCTGCTCATGAATTGGACTACTGAGAACTCCACAGTGGAGCAACTCGATTCTGATGCTCCATTGCCTACTTTGGTCTGAGATGCTGAACGTGAAGTGAAAATAATAGTTTGAAAACTAAGGGGCATCACTGAGTTGGCCCATTACCAATACAATCCAGCACCCCTCCCCTTGCAAGCAATTCATGTCAAAACCTGGTCCAATTTTATCATGTTTGATAAGCAAACTGAATACAAATCAAGCTATTCTAATATTTAGCATTTGGTCATTTCTCAATGTTCCTACTGCTGAAAAGTGAACGCTATAACACTGCAAAACGTTCTACATTTTCTTTAATAATAACAATAAAGGCTAAGAAATATATAATTTAACCATTAATAAGAAATTTGGTGTTAGCCGGTATGTTGCAAAGGCAGTACTTTAGCTATGAAAACTAATCATGAACCATTAAATGAGGACAATAGTCAGGTAACTGCCAATTAAAACTAATGACAGAATTGATATATGGATTACTCAAGAGATATTCACTGCGATACATCTGTAACTCATAACCTGGGAAATGTGTGCTCAAGCTAATAATCTCTGTGCCAATATTAATAACTAAGTAAATTACCTGTAGTTCGGTGCCAAAGATAAATACCTTGGACCTTTAATATGCTCACCAAATAAGTGAGTCATATTCCTGTGCTTGTGAGTTAGTTGCTTCACTTTATATTTCCATTTTCAAATATGTGTATTTCTTACCTATGTCTCCCCCACCTTGTCACTTACCTCTGTGATTGGAGGGATCCCGGTTTGCTTGAGGCAGTGGGGTGTACTGCTGCGAGGCTGGTGTGCTGGAGCCAAAGCCACTGGAAGCCTGCGTGATAAACAATTATGTCAATATGACGGCTGAAAGTCAAAGGGCAACGTAAAGATCTTCTTTGTTTTCTTTCTGCTATCTCTCTAACTAGCAGGGAGCAGACTGTTTTGTCATGCTCAGTCACTCTCTCGTAGCTGATGGCTTCTCACACGAGAGTCTTACTCAAGGTTGCACACAGCAGGGAACTCCATCAGCAGTGCCAGTTCTCTCTTTCTTCCTTCATCCCACATGAACTTTTAAATAAAGCCCGTCACCGAAGTCACATTTGTGGACGCTTGTCAATACAGCTCGAAATCTACGTTTCACTTCCAACACATGAGTTTTTGTTTTCCAACTTGTGTTATTAAGATAATCTAACCTTTCACATGAACCAAGCAGGTTGTTTACAAACACAACTAAAACAACACAAAACTTCCAATGTAGCAATGCATCTTGCAACATTTTAAATTTTCTCCCAAAATTATCAAAAATGAAAGTGCGATATGAAAAAGATTTTTCACTTGCACCATTAATTTATATATCAAAGCTTTTAGAAGAAACATTTCACCAATTACAAGAAAATAACTTTCAACACTTGTTTCCCATTGCCCATGTATCAATTGACAGGAATTTATCAATCAAATCATACTGTGCTGCAAGCAAAAACCTGCATCTTATATATATATGAACGATTGTAGTCTTCTTTAGAACAATGCTTACTCAAACAACAAATAAATTTGTTCAGATAAATAAACTGAACGTTTTTGACAGCAGCGTTACAATTGACTTCCAGATTGCATTATACCCTGGTGTTACAAGAAAATCGCTGGTCAAGACCATTTACCTGTACGTGAATGAAGAGTTAACATCGTGTGATTCTTTTAATAAAGAGGAAGCTTATTTGAGTCGTTGATCGCTCTTCGTACATTTCTCTTTTGCATATTTCCTGATTTTCTGACAAATGTCCTTTGGCAGTCTGTCAGGACGGACTTACAGTTGACAGTGCATGAGAGGAACTTCTCTCTCCAGGGAAATGGGCGATGTCACGGGGTGCTCTCTCTCTCTTCGCCATTCTCCAATTGGAAGCAGATGGAATTTGCAACATGACCCCTCTATGGAAGGAGCTCGCTATTAGAATGGTACAGGTTATCTTTTGACCTCCTCGGGCTCAATACTTCAATTGACCTGCTTTACATCAAACCTGACTCAAGGGCACTTTCATTCCCAGTTGCTTTTCAGCCAAGCAGGAAAACATTTAGAAATCAGTGTTTCATTTAGGAATATACCAACATCTTTCTTTGTCTACAATTTTCATCATTAATCTTTTACATGATGCCAACCTTATAAAATGATAAAGGTAAATTTAAAAAAATGCTAGCTATGTAAATGGCAATCCCACTATGATACAACCGTCCGCGTTGAAAAACTCAGACGAAATGTTAGAACAATGCATTAAAAAAAAGTCTGACTTCCAGGTTCTCAGGTCGTTGCTCCTGCCATTTCCTGCACATTGTGTAATATGTGCCACAACTCTATGTGCAAGAAGCACCGCTGATGTCACTTCCTTCACAAAGTGATGTCCTGCTCAAAGCATGGGCGCACGCAGCATGCAGGAAGTGATGGTAGGTATGGATCCTACGTGTAGCACCCAAGGATGCCAACAGATGCCAACGGTGACCCAAGACAAAAACATCGGCCATTTCTTCGTGTGGGAAGCTGGCTTGTCAGCACAGGAAGCTGGGCGTATCCTGGCACGCAAACCCACGCTGAACCGGGGTATGTTCAAATTGGGCCCACTGTACAAGTATCAAACCACAGGCAGTCAGATCGCCAAATGTCACAATCTTGTTCCATCCACTGAAGGAAAAAAATTAGTCCCTGTCTCAGGGGTGAATTTTATAGATTCAATAAATAGCCTAAAGGCAGGTCCTTTCCTCTGACACTGATATGCACCTACTAGAAGGTTGACAAAGGAGTGGAATTAATACCAACTGTGAAGATATCTGTGGGTCGGATTGTCCTACTGCCCTGATCACAGAGGGGAGAGTGGTAAATTGGAATTAAAGATTACAGTATAACATTTAGAAATAGACTTCAATTGCGCAAACGCTTGAATATAGAAAACAGAACAAATATTTTGGATTATACAAATCCAAACCCATTTCTGAATTGCCATAAAACCAATCAACCATATACCCGAAAAGTGATATTCAGCACCTGTATTGAATGGGTAGCCTTTCCCTCCCTCCCTACAGACAAGCACCACTTTGAACTAAAAAACAGGTCCACATTACAACATTGAAAGATCATTCCCTGCAGCAGCTACATGATGCATACACTGTACTCTGAAAAAATGACAGCACTAATTAATTACCAATGCACAAGCAGTCCTTTTTAATTCAGCATCTGTGCAGGAATAAGTATCAAATCCACTTGGACAAATGCTTGTCTTGAGACCATATTAACATTCAAAATCATCATTCCCCCTCCCGTTCCCTGACCATTTCAGTTTTCAACCATGGTTTCACATTTACCGCAGGTATTTACGCTACTTTATAATGCAGAGTACAGATGTGCAATTTCCCGGATCTGGCATTGGGGTTATTGGAGAAAGGGTAAGGAGCAAGTGAGAACAGACATCATCTGGCTAACCTGCATTCCTTTGTGCCATTTCAAACCGGAGATTTACCGAAAGGAAAAAGTCAATTCAAGACGTGTGGTGCTGACTGATGAGTTAAACAATGATTCTCCCACATGTAAAGCCAGCTGTAAAGGGCACAATAGATTTCCTTTTACAATCATGAAATATAAATTAGGGCCATTGTTTTCATTCATTTTTTGAAAACTCAGAATTTGTCAACAACAGCTGTTCTTGTTCACTGGTCTGAACAGTCCCATCTTAGGCTGGTGGGCTCGATGATGTGATACTATAGCAGTTCACCTTCCTGGTAACCTGTTCAGTTGTGAATTACCTTCCAGTTAAAGAAATCCTTCCAGGTGCCACTCTTCAAATTGCTCTTTGCAACCCTAAACCTGTGTCCTCTTGTTCTCTGTCTCAGTACATCCGAAAACACATAATAGGATCTATGACTTGCAGATGGCTGAACGTGGAGATTTATCATAGGATTTCCCATTAACCCGTAATGAAAAGATCATTAACTTCTGTAAACAGCTCATGATGGTCTCTATTGTTGGAGCGATTTTTTTCCAAATATCATTCCAACAAACATTTCAAGTGGAGTTTTGATCCTCCAGCTGGAGGCAGATAGCTCCTATTTGTAACTTGCCAGATTGATTTTGATTTTGGCCTGAAAATCAAACTACAAAGGCCCAAACAGTGTTGATCTGTACTTGGCTCAAGTAACAACGCTGCTTTCAATCTTCATTACGGTAACATTTTTTATACAATGCTGACTATGTGCTTGTGATCTCTTATCAGAGCCGACTTCTCTTTTCTCTGCCTTCTGCTGCCAGAGTTGATCAATGTGCCTGGACTGAAGAATGCTGGTGCTCCTCCATGTCACTGTTCAGCGGGGAACATGTTCACGACCAATGCACAGCACCAATACTCTGGAGTAACATCATCATGTTGCCATGTCTGACCGTGTGTGCAGCGATGGGTTGTCTTACTCCTCAAAGGAATCTTTCTGCCCAGTTAGCACAGGTAGAAGAGCGTGAGAACCTCAGCTTGATGGCTGGATGCCCAACATTGCAAACTGTGCCTCTTTCCTAATCTTTGTACATGCCAAATGGTTTTGATGCTCACACACTATATCAGGTCTTAAATTTGGACAAAGGTGAGTTATTTTAGTTTTACAAAAAAATTCTCATCCTTAAAGCGCCTCACTTAAGTGACATTTTTCATGTGCGGCCCTGGACAGTGTTTGCAAGCTTATACACAATGAGGGGTATCACAGCAAATATTGTTCCTCACCTGACATCAGAATGGGTAGACTGTCCAGCAGGGGTCACTGCATGGCAATAAAGAGGAACCTTAGGTTGGTCCTCCCTTCCCTAGCCCACAGGCACTAAAGCCCAGGCAAAGGATTTACAGATTGAGCTATTGGGGTTGTAAATTAATTCTGCACAGCTCAGGACCACACTGCACTGTGCAAACGTCTAAACCTCTGCAGAGTAACAAGAAAATACATCTCTTTACAAACAGATGTAAGTTAAGCTGTTTGCACCTGAATCTGTGACTATCTCGTGCTTTCAAATACGCAGGAGTGAATTGGGGTGTAAGTGTTTAACTGAAGCTATGTGTCACAACCTCTTGGCAGCATGTATCAGTAGGGCAGGAAATGGATCCCTGGATGTCTTTCACCTCTGTGAAGAGAGTGGCTTTGATTAAGCTGACGAAAGATGAGCGAGATATGAAGCCCCTCTTTATTTACCCTTTCTCCATCCCCGCATTTCCCCATCACCCCACCCCTGCTGTTTTGTGGAGTCTAGGAAAAGTCTAACTTTCTGTCAGTGATCTACAAACTGGGTCAGAGGTTAACAGGAGGTCAAGCTACCGCTGCAACTGACACTTCATGATACCCTGTTGTGTACCAACAATCCAACAGGTGGCATGACATCACTGCTTTAAGGAATAGAACTAAGCAGAACAAGCTCTATTTAATTAGGTGCAGAATAAGTTAAGACACCCGTATCCTGATCCAAAGCAACCAAACATCTTGGCTCACTTCTGGATCACATAGAGGACCCACTTTCACAAACACGGGGTTAAAAAGGCAGTTCACATCTCTGAATGGTTCCTCAATTCAAGAAATGTGTCCTAGTCTGGTTTGGCTGTACAACATATATATTCAGTCCCTCTGTGCCAAGTCGTCAGATGTTTATCTTGAACCTTCAATGTTTTTTTTACTTGTTAACCATTCTCATATCCTCTCACCATTTGGCTTTAATATCCTAAATGCTTTTTTAAGCAAACTTCTCTCTGTCCTGACTAATTTCCTCTCCAGCCGACAGATCAGAGGCTTTCCTCATCGCTGTTCCTTTGGACCTGTGAAGCC